GATTCTATGATTCTATGATTCTAACATGTGACAAATTACTGCATGAAATAAAACAAGCAATGAACAATTCTTACTAGTGGTGAAGATGGGTATTTATCAAGAGCAGCCTTCCTTGGCATGTAATGTAGTGCTTCATTGTTTTTCATTTGATGTTGACACAATGTAATCTTTTTTCATTTTGTAGTGTATAGTGCTTTTGGGGTAGATACAAATGACATGAAAGACTTCAGCATTAAGGTGTTACAGGCTTTGAAATAATTATAGCAGCAATATATAAAGTTGAAAGTTACTGCTTTGTTGGAAGAAAATGTGTAGGAGGTGTCAGGCTAGTTTAGCCGATATTCCTGTCTTCTGCTAAGTGTAAACCCATGCAGTAGTCCCTATTCAGATGTGTAACCGTGTAATTGAATGTTGCTAACGTTAAGGGAAAGAACAAAAAAATCCTAAATGTGATTCAAGGAGGGAGATGACTTTAATTTCTTGTAGACTGAACTTCATAAAAAAGAGATAGAACTGAGTCTAGGAAAAGAGCAGAACAAGCAATTTTGGGATCGGAACACAGACAACAGCATCACCATTGACCATCTAAGGAGAGAACTAGACGACAAAAACATGCAATTGCAGCGCATGGAAAAGACAGTGAAGGAAATGAGGACTGAACGTCACGGACAAATGGAGCACCAGGTTGGTGAGCAACTGCAGCGTGATAGTGTCCAGGATAGAAAGTGCAGCGGCTGGGGGCTGTACTTCAGATAGAAATACTGTAACTCTGGTTACCATGGCCGGGAGGCCTCTGTAGCTCATGTGCCAAAATTTTCCTTCCAAAGATGCAGCTACCCGACAGTCAGAATTTGCCTGTTAATCTGACCCGTCCGGCCTTCATTTCTCTTTACTGATGAGGAAGTAGAAGCGTTATTTTTAATTTTGATTTTTGACATACAAGCCTTCAGAGAAAATGAACGTTCTGCTGATAGTGTGTTTGATTTTGACTGTAAACCTCCAAAACAGCGTTTTGTAAATTTCCAGGAAGTTTGATGCTGCCAGACCTAACAAACTATTGAAGGTAGTATTTTCGGTAGTGAGCGCTTCTGTAAGAATAATTAGTAAATTAAAGGCCTTCATAATGCCTTCCTTGATGTGGTGCTTAATGAAGACGTAATGAAGTTTGTGTTTATAACGCTAAGCTGAATGCAGTGCTATGTCAAAAGAATTACTTCTGGCAAAGTAGCTTCCTAGACACTGACTTGCAGTACATTCCCTTTTCTTCAAGACTTCAGCCCCTCAAAAATGACCTGTAATTAGGTAACCCACTTTGCATTATGAGTAAAGATCAAGTTAATTCCTTTATTTTCTACCACCCACAGGCTTGTGCTACCTCACACATTGTTCTACTTTTTCTCAAACCATTATTTTTCCTTTAAAATCCTCCCACCAGGAAATTCATTCCTTTCTTCTGTTTCTATTTTGTACTATTAGCAGTTCCTGAGTCACAGTACTTTGTGCTTTAAGTGGTGCACGTTGCTGCCTGCAGAAATTAAATCAGCAATAAATTATTCATGTACATACATTTTTTTCCCAACTTACAGTGCAGTCAGTTGAGTTTTGTAGCTTAAAATTCTTTAGACCCAACTACACTCAATTTTATACTAATATTGCTGGTTTATTCATTTTTTTATGTCAGTTTAACATTTTTCATTTTCTATGATTAGAAAACCAATATTCTAAGCAACACTTCATTTATTAAAATGGAGAAAGACGAAAAAAAACCCAGAAGAAACACAAAGTCATTGTAGACCAGACCATGCTGACCTGATTTTCCTGTAAAACTAAGATATTTAAGATGAACTATAGAAAACCAGAAATGTGACAGGAAATTGTGAAGGTAGAAATAAACGTTCTCTTGGTTGATGCTTATATTGCTATTACGCAGATGGCTGCAATTAAGGAAAAAAATGAAAGCACTGGAAGAATCTCCTCTTTGACTGCCCAACTGGAGTCAACGAAGGAAACACCCCATAAAGTTGAAGAAGATCTTACAGCCAAACAGATCGATTTGGAGACTGCTGAGAAAACAGTGTCAAATCTGACAGCCCGTCTGCAGGAGAAAGAGAGACCCCTTGAGGTTACCAATAAGGAGATCAAGAAGCTACATTCACAGCTTGGCAGTAGGATGCAGGAGCTCCAGCATCTAACGAATGAAGAGGACTGTTTACACAATGTGCAGTCACAGTGTGAAACGCTGAAACTGCAGCTGTTAGAGAAGGAAAGGATTATTGAGGTCTTCCAAAAGCAAATTGATAACATGACGCAGATTGTGGGCCAGCATAGTCGAACTGCTGGAGCAATAGAAATTGAGAAATCTCAGCTTATAAAAGAAAGAAATGACTGGAAGCTTAAAGTAGAAGAACTTAAGGTGTGCAAATGATGCTGTATTTATGTCTCTGTAAGACAGCAAATGTTTTCTGTTTCTACGTCTGTACCTTAATGTGCTAATACTGTGGTTTTAAAGCAGGTCAGTCAATGCAGCTTGAATCCTAACAGCACTAGAAGAGTTAGTAGGCAGAGAAGAATAATATTACCACATTACCACCAAAAATGAATAATTCACTGGTGCAAAGCAGTTGCCAAAAGGTTTGTGAAAGCTGGAATATAACACGCTGTCCTCAGTGATATAATTGTCCACACCACTAACAGAACCAGAAATACAAAGTGTTACTGAGAAATAACAGAGAGTGAGCACTCAGAATTCAAAATTGAGGACACTTTATAACTGGTTATTTCTCAGACAAGAACTACAGGGTATGGTAGTCTTATGCAGGTCAGCGTCTTGAGAAAAAATTCACTCTAGATAGGGAATTTCATCATCTTCTGTAAGAAGACATTTGAGCATTAGGAGTGAATATGGAGGTAGTGCTAGAAGAGGATGGAAATAATTTTCATATACACCTGGTAAGATTAAACATGCTGTGAAGCCATTACATCAGATTCTCTTGTACCCTTTTTGCCTGGATTGGCAGTTTTCACAGTAATTTGTCTATTTTTGCTCTGTTTTTCTTTCTTGCCCCAAACTGTTCTTTGACAACTGAGATTTAAAGTAATGATGATGTCTGTACATCTTTGTGGTTATTTTGTATAATTATGTATATTACACATAATTACTATTGGTTTTTATGTAAGTAGATTGCAAAGGATGAGAAAGAAGCCAGAATACATGAAATGGAGGCCAGACTGAGTGAGCTGGAACTGGAAAAGGTTAAACTGGTGAACACATGCAGTGAGAGGCTCCATGCACTTAATGATATGAAACTGGAAAAAGATCAGCTAATGAATGAACTCCAAGCCGGTCGGAGTGAGCTAGCTGGCCTTGCAGGTAGGGAGCCTTGACTTAGCTCCGCTCCGATAGCTGCTAAATTGGGCTGATGTTAAAAATAGAAGAGCGGCTTGCTTGCTGAATCCAAATATGGCTGCTGGTACAGCAGCAGGTTTCCTGCCAGCACGGGATGGTCAGATTGCTTCAGAGAGCTAAGTCATGGTTTGGGATTCTGGCACAGAGTGATGGGAGTACAATCCTTATGGCAGTCTCTCACTGCCCTGAGCAAAAATACTTAAACCACCTGACTCGGGAGACCAAAGAAGGAGATTTAGTAAATCACAGAATGGAAACTTGACCACTTTTTCCTGAGTGTTATTTAAGAGCACTAGTGGATCCCATTAACCATCAGTGGTCAAATTACAGTGGAACTTTGTGTTTTGTTGTCGTTTTGCTACAATGTTTTTTAAAGGTTTATGTTCTAACTCAAAGCGCTGTTTTCACAACTAATGGGTGGGGAAGCAGATCAAGGTAATATTTTAAAAAAAAAAAAAAATTAGGGGCTGGACCCAAGGCAACCACCAAAATTCAGGGAGATCCTCTGTGAAATCTGCACTGCAGCCAGAGAGATTACACTGTTCACATGCTTTGCTATCTACACACCCCTGCACTCTCATACCCATTGGTAACACCTATTTCTTCACAACTCAGCTATACTTCTAAACTCATTAAGTTTTATAAGAATTAAACAGACACTGTGATTTGACATGGAAGGTCTGCCGTAGCTTTGTATAGTACTATCAGGGTGAATGAGGTGTAAGAAAGGCTTACCGGAGTGAATGGCCACAGAGGAATTAGGGCCAAGCTGTTGATAGAGTCTGAGCCCACAGCTGGCTGGCTTGTAGTGGTACGGGTGACATAAGAGGAGTTGAAGAGAGATACAAGAAACAGAGCTGAGAAGCGGAGTTGCGGGGGAATGCTTGACAAATTAGATCAGTTCAGACCTAAGTCTGGTTGTAAGTGTGACTGAGAGAAGAATGAGCAGGGGAACATGCTGTCTCACTGTTACCCTTAACTTTCACAATATGCAGTTGGTTCTAGCACGAGGAACTCAGAAATGTGGATTTAAATCACTTTCCTGAACTGTTGCTTTGGCGAGCAACCAAAGAACAAGTTTGTTTCTGGTGAAACAGAAGCTTTTGCTGACATGCAGGACAATGAACTACTAGTTGTGCATTTGTTAGCAGTGGATATTATTTGCTTTATGTCTTAGCTATCTGCATATCTAATACTCCTTTAAAGAAAGTAAGCGACAGATCAGTGATCTTAGTCTGAAAGAATGATAATTTTTGTCGCTATAATTTCGATCTTTGCTTACTCTCACCAGACGGATTTGAAGATTTGAAGAGGGGTTATCAGGATAAAATCGAGGAGATGGAAAATACTGCAAACAGACTGAAAATGCAGTTGAAATCTGCCCAAGCTGAACTGGAACAGACCAGGACTGCTCTAAAGACTATGGAGGGATCTGATGGCCATGGTAATTATGGATTGATCTTCCCAAAAATCACACACGTTTGTCTTTTTAATAAGAGGATTTCTGTAAATATTGATTCCTCAGTAGATGTTGTAATAATATTCCAGATACTTTGGGAAGTAAAGAAACAATATTGCAGGTGACAACATATTTTTATTTTACCATTTACTACATACTGTAAAACTTAAACTATGAGTTGAGTTTTCTCAGGTGATCTTTATGCAGATTTCCAGGGAATGCTGTCTTTTTGTCTTGTGTGTGTGGTGGGTCTGGTGCTCCTACCTTGGACGAAAATCCAATGATTCTACTGGGTGGTTTGCACACGTAAGTGACTACAGGATCATAAGTGGTCCTGTAGAACTTACTTATTCTAACATATTGCTGATAATGGATTTCCAGAGTCTTTTGTCGGGACTCAGAATGCATAATCAATGTGGTTCATTGAGAATTAACCTTGTCTTTTACAGCTATGAAAGTTGCAGTGGGAATGCAGAAGCAGATCACAGCCAAGAGAGGACAGATAGATGCATTACAGAGCAAGATAAAATTCTTGGAAGAGGCAATGACAAATGCAGCTAAGGTCACAAGAGCTCCATGTAAAAGTATTTAATTGTATCTACGGAAATTTTTCTTTGAAGAAATGCATGGCCAAAAGCACAATTGGCCCAAGAAGGACCAAAGAGAATTTTACTTGATATAATGGGCACCTTCCCTGTCCTGCTAGCATATATCAGGGAATATCTCCACCCCATAAATTAGCCTTCTGCATGGAGACAGGTTTTAATTTATATTTGTTCTCCATGAAAGAACAGTACTAGTTTCAATGAGAATCAAGCTCTTTCATATCCGTTCTTTTTAAAAATGTCAATTAATGCATTCTGTATCCTTCTGAATTTGGCCCACAGTGCTTTTCCTCTTTATTTTCTGAGGCGGTTCTTTGCAGTTCTGGTTGTAAACTCTGTGTCGCAATCTGTCTAGTACATTGAGGTCTTTCTAGCATTTTCTGCGACAAAGAAATCATTCAGTTACCGATAGCTGGAGTTCACTGAATGATTATTTATATCTGTTCACTATAACCTGTCCTCCTTCTTTACTGGCTTTGGATCCTGTGGATCCTGAAGCTTAAAATTCCAGTTTCAAAATGGATCTAAAATCCGAGATGTTACTTCATCGGGGCCAGTCCAATTGTACTTTTCTTTATAAGACCTGTTGTCTTGTTGAAAAACCTCATCTCTCTCCAAGATGCAATAGCTAAGCTTCTGAAACAGTTAATTCAGATCTTTCAAAGAGAAAAAAAATTGCAGAAAACAAGTGCGTATAATGTAAGTAGTTATAAACTCTTGACTCGTACTTTTGTTGTCCTTATCTTAAATTCAGGAGAAGCATTACCTCAGAGAAGAAAACAGTAAACTAAGTCAAGAATTGAGCTGTATTACAGCAGAAAATACCAAGATTGCTGGGGAACTGGAGATCCTGAGATCACAAGACAAATGTCTGAAAGAAAAAATATCTAAGATGGAGACAGCCCTTGATAAGGTAGTTTTAGGTAACTTTCAGTTCAGTGAGACTTGTGGGTGCTTTCCTCTACAGTCACTCGGGAGGAGAAAATGTCTGACCTCTTACCATGTGTTTAGTATCTCCTGTTCACATGTACTGTAAGATACTTACCTGAAGAGATGTCTATAGTTAAGACTGTCTTCTGTTTTTTTAATGGTAAAAGGCTTCTATTTTCATTAAGAGAATTCTTGATTTACTCCCTACTAGCTCAGGGAAATACAAGCTGCAGGGAATTTAAAGCAGATTGACCTTCCAGACCTTCCACTGGCTCTTGGCACAGCGCCTTTCCCTGGCGAGGGAGACTACTATTCAATGTAACAGGGGCTCCACTGGAACCGAGTGTGGGCTCACGCTGTCTCAACACACTTGTCCGTGCTCAGCCCTTTCTGGGACCTTAGTTAGCCAGCTGTGGGTCCCTCAGGGTAAGGGACATTTTTAAGAACTTCTTGTTGTTTCGTTTGCCTTTTTTAGTTGAGGTTTCTGTTGCTGACACACCTGACTCCTAAGGCTAGGTTCTACATTTTGGTCTGACTGGCACATAAATCCCAGGTGCCCTACAGGTAAGCTGCTGCTTTTCCAGAAGGAAGAGTCCTTTTCAGCTTCTCAGAATTCTAGCTTTTCAGGATATAAATTTCCATGTAAGGTGTTATTCTCAAATTGCTTTATTACTTTAAAAAAATAATAAAGTAAAAGTAATTGCGATACCTCCTCCCTAGTGTGGCATTTCTTACTTTAAATGCTTGATGCTGGAAATTTAACTTTCTTTGTAATATATATCATTGTGCACAGTACTAGCCAACTGACAGAGAAGCTGAGACACAGTGGAGGCAGGTGCTCGCTGAAAAGTAGCACATATGGTACACTAAATAACAATTCTTAGGAATTAGTAAAGGTTGTACTGTGTCGTCTCACAGGATGCCAGTATATACCATTGCAGAGCATCCATTGTATAAACATCCTGAAGTGTAATTTGCCATCTTGCTCATCATTAATGATTGAGAGTTAAATGTTCAAAAAGCTGCTGCTTGTAATCATACATCCACAGTGCCTCAGGGAGCCTGCCCATGCCTCAGTGGCAGTCATAAAGAAGCACAGAGAGCCAGGTGTTTTTTTAAAACCGAAGAGGGAACTCGACTAGAGTGATAAAACCAGTCTGGTTCATAAAGATATCTCTCTCTCTTCTTTTGCTTTGGCTTAGAGCTTCCTCTGTTCTTCTTGCTATCCTGGTAAGTACTCATTGAAAAGTAGCTACATGATTAGATCTTCTCGCACCTTTTCAGAGTAAACTTTTTAAAAATGGAAGAGTCTATAACAACTTAACAAAGACGGGTCAACGAAGTTGTTAGCCATCCATTTTAAAACCTTGAGTATAGTTTTGCCTCACTAGCACAGTTGAATTTTCTAATCCCAGACGTGTTCAGTAGGTCTAGGACTGTCCCTGACAAGATTAGCTCCCTTCTGTGATATTACGGTGTGCATTTTACGGCTACTAACATCATACAACCAGTCAGCTGCTTTTGTAAGCCTATCAAGAAAGGCATCTGGTCATCTTGCAATATTTCTGTACTGATAGCAGTAGATAAATAAAGCATCTTTATGTGTACCTTGTTGTTTCTTTATCGGAAAGAAGACACGAAAGCGTAATTCACAGAAAGTTAGCAAAATTAATTTATGCTGCTTCTATCCTCTCTTACAGGCATCCATGCAATTTGCAGAATGTCAGTGCATAATCCAGTGTCAGGAACAAGAAGCTATGCGCTTCAGACTGCAGCATACTTTAGATGTAAAAGTAAGTACATCACTGAGAAGCATGGGTATAAAGTTAGATGGATTTTGTTTGTGTCCTGACTTTAGGTTTAACCCTATTTATTTCAAATACTCTAAGAAGTTTGTATTCTGAAACCCTTTTTTATGTGGCATACCTCATTGCTGCACAAGTCATGTCCATAATTTCAGTTACTTTGAAGTACTACTTACAGTAAGGGCAACAAAAAAGTCAAACAGCTACAGGAATATTGGACCATATGCTTCAGGTGCTAAGCTTTGGTTTCAGTGACACTTCAGCATTTTCTTGCGGCCCTAGGCAAATAAAAGCTAGAAATGTTCATGGCATTATTATGAAAAATGAATTAGAGAGACAAGGTCTGTACGGATGCCTTTCACTAGTGTAACTGTTAGAGGTAAAAGCACTAACAAGCTTTTGGGTACCCACATCCTTCTTCAGGCCTGAAATAAAACCAGCAACCTTAAAGCTACATAAAGGCTAGAAACAAGGACTCTGAGTTTAATTTGATTATGCTAATTAGTTAGGCAGCACCAAAAAGAATCATTTTTAAGAAGCAAAGAGAGATGTTAGCAAGGGGAAAGGAAATATGGTCATGAGGCATCTGGGATAGAAAAAGGAAGACGTGTAATTGATATCTGTCGAGCTATATAGCATTAGCGGAAGATAGAGTATAGGGAAGATCATGCAGTAATATAAAGCCAGTATCTCTATTATAGAGCCCAGAATTTTTATTGACGAATAGATTTAGCCCAATCTGTATCTTTACTACTGAGTTTAGTCAAGAATATTATTTACCTTTGCCTTATTTATAACCATAGACCATTAAGGCTGCAATGAAACTACTGCTATAAATGAACGGTGCTCTGGGAACAGTAGTTTTGTCATAAGGAATTATCGTTAATTTTAGTGACCCACCCCAGTCGCTAGTTTTGAGTGAGAAATGAAATGTTATATTCAAAATACAAATCTACATAAGCGATACAAAAAATACTTCATATGAACAACGGCAAAGGTGGGGAATCTCATATTCCAACGAAAGAAATTCTCACCCAAGTGGGGAAAAAAAGGTACAAGAACTGTGGGACAGTTTAATTTTGTGGTGGCCCTGAGATGTCCTCCACTTGAATGGTTCCAGAGCATGTGTTAAAGTTCTGGCAATAAATGAAATTACCACTCTTGCACCCAGTTCAGTCACTGAAAGGGTTATGTCTGAGCACACCTAGTAAATACTAGGAAGTGTTTTAAGAACTGAGTACTGCATATTATAAAAGATTTGACTAAAAGTGATGCCCTGTTACAGAGGGCATGCTGTCAATACCCGTTTATTCTGCTTAGCTATACTTGCTTATTCTGCTTGGCTAATGTTTTCTGCAGGAGCTGCAGGGCCCAGGCTACTCGTCAGCTTCTGCTTCAGGCAAGCTGCGGCACATCGTGCCTCTTTCCCACCTGCACTCTGCTGTTGTGCCACCTTCCCAGAACTTGGCCAGCTGTGCCCCTCATGTAAGTACCTGCCTCAAAATGAGAAACTGCACGGGAAATGGAGATGTTCCAAAGAGTAAAAATAAAAAGGAATTTCTAAATGGAAGAGCATCTGGTAGGAGTGTCCAAGAGGGAATTCTTAACACCAAAGATGAAATCATTTTCTGTAGCTTCTCGTACGTTACGGCCTTTCAGATTTTCTTTTTTTCCGTTTGCAAAATATATGTAAAAACCAACTGGACAATAAAAATTCTGTAGATTGTAATAGGAGTTTATCTTATCTTTATCAACAATAACATTTATAAACTATTAAAATTGAAAGTACTGATCTGTAAGCAGTTTGGTTTTCACTTGTTTTTTCGGCTAGTACTTTACTTGCTGTAAATCACTTAGACTTGGCAGTGAAAATAGACTTGCACATAGTTCCTGATAAATTTCATCATCTGATTGACCTGTAGTAGCTTTTGATACTTAAATCGTTCTCCAAGCTGTCCTTCACTGATTTTGACCAGTTTTATCCTAAAAGACACATCATTGTCCTTCCTTCCTTCCTTCCTTTTGTTTTTGTACATCTACATTTAGATTTAGATTAGATGCTAGTGTTACTCTAATTTTTCGTTATAGAAAACATCAACCGAAATCTCTCATGCAAAAAAAAAAAAAAATTCTGCCATTTTCTGTATAGATTTTGTATAATTCTCCAAAAGGGACCTGATGTATCTCCCACAGAAATTGGTAGAGGTCTTTTCATTAATTTTTACCTCAAAATCTGTAGGAGACTACAAGTTAGTGCAGATATTTTTCAATAATATTTTCTGGTTTACTTTCTGATGTGGTGACAAACATTTACATCAAGGAACAAAGGATAGTTAATTCTGTGAAATCCCTGCAGCATCATGCACTCCCATCTTCTTTTCTTTGAGTTAATCAATTTATACTTCTGAGGATAAAGAAGGCAAAAGGACCGATTTTTAATGTAATACCATGGTGAGGACTTAACAGGTTGTAGGAGAACTTGATTCAAGGTCTGCTTGAATCTTTCTGGTTCCTGCATGATTAGTTACTGTACAAAATGAAGCAGCTCCAACATTTGAGACAGAGACCCTACCTGGTCGATAGCCTGGTTTCTTAGCCGGAATGTGGGAAAGAAGGATTTGGTCTGACTCAGTATCACATTGACCCATTATGATTTATTCTCTATATAAGCTCTGCTGAAACTAGTGTGTTGCCATTGGAAATGACATTTTTTTCAACGAAAACATGTTAGCAAAATGTTTCTAGCCAGTTCCATCCACAGATAAAGCGTAAGTCAGTGGGAGCAGGGCTTTGAACATGTGAAGTGCTGAGTAGTCTGAAAAATCCAGTTCTTCACAGAAAGAAAGGATTCTTTGAACCAGGCCTTTGCCTCAAGTCCTGATCAGTAAAATGAGAACAATATTGCACTTCATCTCAGAGTATGGCTGTGACAACGAAGTGGTTTATATTTGCAGACAACTCAGCTGTTACAGAAATGAGTGCCTAAAAAACACCCCGATATATTAGTATTTCTGTCTTCAGAGCTGTGTTTGTGTACTTTACAGTAATACCTGGGACCACAGGTTAAAAAGGAGAAAACAGAGTTGTCACATAAGCAAAGATTATTGGTTCTGAGTACTGAAAAAGGTAATGGTTGTGGGAGGGAGGGGGGGAAGCTTTCATAATTAAAGACCTATTTTAATGTTTTTCACCTTGAAGCAGTAGTCATAACCTTTTTACAACATTTATTCAAAATGCAGATGTTAGCTGTGTTCTCCCTCAATCATTATTTAGTTGCTTTACACATTTCTGTCAGGTAACTTTCCAGATAAGAGTGCAATCACATTCAGAGAGTATTTTGACAGTCTTCAAGTTATCATCATCTAGCCTCCAACACTTTTTAACTAAAATTAAAAAAAATCCGCCCTGTTTGTAACCGGTAAGACAACACACTTTTTAACTAAAATTAAAAAAAATCCACCCTGTTTCTAACTGGTAAGACAAGAGTAGAGGGGGAGAAACATGTGACTCTGGCTGAGTATAGGTAAGAATTAAAAAAGAGAGTGCCTTTATAAATACTTTGTATTTCAGATGCCTTCCAAGCCAGGCATTTTGAAGGAAGAACCATTGCAGGATCTAAAGAGGATTCTTGAAGAATTAACAAGCTCAGACAATGATGTTCCCTCTGTGGATCTTGGGAAGGATGACAGTGATGGTGGGAGAAAATCACCTATAGCAACCATGAGGAGTACAGTGTAAGAGTAATACACTGTTATTTCTGTTGTGTGCTGTGTACTTGTGTTGCCTTCTAAAACTAGGATCTGGCCATTCATATGCTTCAGGAGCAGTATAGGATGCCTTTTTGCAAGAAAGTTGGGTTTATGAGTAAGCTTGAGATAATCTGAAAGCTTTCAAAGCTTCTGCTGTTTGCCAGGTTCCTCAGATGCTTTAGGTGGTAAGGATATAAAAGGTGACTACACCATTTGCCTTTATTTCTTGCTTTTTGTCGTTCCTGCTTTTATTTTCATTTAGAACTCCTTTCTTCTATTTCTGCCTTACGTAAATATCCCTTCTGTCATTGTTGAAGCAGGCAATTTTTTTTTTACCAAACAAATTATAATGACAGTGGTACATGAAGTTGAAAAATCAATAAAGCACAAATTCTGATGTTTCTAATCCAGAACATACTTCATAAAGGAAAAGATAATTCATGGACTTTGATTAGAATCAAGTTTGTTTAAACCATGACACTTCTCCCATAATACATACTGGTGGAACAAAATCACATCAGTCCCAATATCCTATGTATTCTGGGTTTTTCTGCTTTTCCCAGGTATTTTTTTTGAACAGGAGATCTGCCTGTTACCAACATGCAAATTTTTGACAGCTTCAATATAGAAGCTTCTATTTCACAAGCGGAAAAAGGATTCATGCTCAGAAGTTGGTCTGTCTGTCTGATTTTTTTAAGTAGTAAATGTACTATCTCTTCCTACCTTGACTTTGCCTATCATAGATAGAGTCCTTTGGAGGCATGACAATCAACAGTGCCCTTTGCCAGCCTGTACTATATGATAATTGCCTATGTTCTGTGTTTACGGTGGCAGTGGGAGAAACTTTTCTTTTTCAACATACGGTTGCAAGCTTTTATGGTTCAGACCATGTCGATTTTATGAGAATTTTTCTCCCTTGCAACAGTGTTCTCTTGCAGAGCTGAAATGAGGATGGGAGAATCCTGCACCTAATCATCCCTCAATATACAAAGCTGTCTGTCAAAGTACATGACTATCTCAGTGCTGTTGGTAGTGCCAGTTCTGATGTTGTCTTTCTACATCCTTCTGCACAGAGATGGTGCAAGTAGAGGATGCGCTGCTGTCTTCAGCTTACGATCAGATCCTTGCAAGAGGTGAGAAATCACCCTTCTGAAAAGGTCACGGACAACACAGATACAGATGTTGGTCGAGTGAATACAGTAGGACGATACAGACAATATTTTGTGAAATAAAAAGAGAGTTGTTGTACAAAATGGATTTAAAAATTGGGAAGAAAATAATTGTTTGTGTTCTAGTAAAAACTAGAAGTCCCTTGTAGATCAAAATTCTGAGATCGCTCAATAAAGTAGTGCTATGTAAGATTCATTGACCAGGCTTTTTTAATACAGCATCAGTCCTGAGCTTGTCTGTATTGTTTTATTCATAATGCTAAAAGCTTCCTGGGAATTACAGAACAAAGCTGTGATGTTACTTTCATCCCCTTAAGAGCGAGCTCTGGAAATTATTTGCATTGTTTGCTTTTAATTTACATGTGTAAGATCTGGAGATTACATATGAGAGCTTCACATTCTCACTGTGGAGGCTAGGTAGCATTATCAAAACTTAGCATAATACTTCCAGAATGCAAGTTTTGCCATCGTTTTGCTTGCAGGGATCCTTCATGCTTACATACCACAGATCTTCAGTCCCAAGACGTTACCTTGCTCTGTACATCCCGTGGTAAGATTTCACTGGCCGCATTTGAGGATGAATGTGCCATATTGATGTCAAACTGGAACATTACAGAATATTACAAAAAATATAGTCCAAATACGATTTATTTTCTCAGATACCTCCTGGCAGGTGCTACTACAAAGTCTCTATTGCGCTTAACTGCAAAATCCGTATCTTGTTGCAAACCAGCTCCATGGAGGCTGATACCAGCACACCTAAAATGGATACCTTCCATGGTAGTTATTCATGAATAGCGATAGTCTTGTGTAATTAGCGTGGGTAATATTGTCAAATTGTTGGTGCCTAAATTTAGGCTCTTGAATTCTGTATTCAGGTATCTAAATATGGATGTGCTTTTGAGAGGAACCAGGTCATTGCAAATTCCGTTGATTTCCTTCCAAGTACTGGGTGGTCAGGACCTTTTAAAATGTAGTGACATGAATTTAGTAACCTAAACAGAAATATAAGGATATGGCTTTGAGCATCAGGGTTTGAAGATACTAGTCTTAGCCACCTTCTGTCTTCTTGCCCTTAGATTATATATTCTGTGAATTTCCTGTGAAAATTGCCTGCAGACGCTGATGTATTTAATTGTTCTCTATTAGTATTTAAGCCACTATGCTTCAGAGATAGGCTAGAACTCCTCTGTTTGTCCTGAGGAGTAACTACTATGGGTCCTCTTTTTATACTTCCAAGTATTAAAGAAAATCTCTTGGCTAGTTACTGTCAGCCTTCTAGCAAACCTACTGTAACATCCAGGGATTTTTCCTAGCTTCTGAAATAATTGCAAGTAGCATTTTTTACATAGAAGACTCGAGGAGGAGTTGAACAAGGGGAGTTTGTTAGAATTCCCCCAAATTATTTTCAAGACATCCTAGGAAGGGTGTTAGGATTAAGGAAACACACTATGAGAAGAAAAAGAGAAGAACTGTAGTCAATCTTCCCCTCATTAGTTGCATGCAACCTTTTTTTTTTTACACACAAACAGTGTGCCATACATCTGAAAATATGTTACATAATCTGTTGATTGCATATTTCTATGCATATCTTGCCTCTTTTCCTTATGACTGACTTTCTGCCAGGAATTCAAAGCATATCAATCAGTTATTGGAAAGGAGGGAAATGGCAGACCTGTGTAAGCAACATGGTTTTTTCTGCTGCTTATACCTAAGTAATGAGATCCAAGTCAGCAGTGACGTATGGGGAGTCTTGGGTTGCTAGCGGCTATGATACTCCCATCAGGCTGTTTTGGAAGTAAACATGAAGTGAGTAGCCAGCAGAAAATAGCAGGCCCGACTTTCTCCTAGGCTATAGTCTCTTGCTGCCTTGGCTACTGGTAAGGAATGGAAAGGATGAAGGAGTGCCATGAAGGGAACCCAACCCTGTAACTGTTACAGAGAGAACGCCAAAGCTGGTATGGGGGTTTCTCTTCAGGTGTGTGCTCACTGCTCTTTGCTTGGATATCTCCTAGGAGGTGCATCCATCTTCTCAGCAGCTCCTCGTTATACATCCTCCCCTGAGAAGGTCTCTCGGGACGAGAGATACAGAGACAGGTCTCCGGTACACTTGCTATTAACTGCTCCACCCGATGACCTTGCAGCTGGCCCCGGCGCCTCACCAGAGCACAGACCGTCCGCAAGGAAAGCTGGCTCTCCAGAGGGTGCAGCCACAGTCCCCCAGATAAGTAAGTCTGGTCCCATTTACTGATGCAAAGAGCTTGGCTGGGTCTCTTCCCAGCCAGTACAGTGAGTGAGTTACAAACTGTAGGTTAAATTCAGCCGTTCAGCAATTCTGTGGAGTCCCACCATCATTCACCGATACGGTCTTTTACAGTTTATGATTGTGGTACCTGTGCTTCATACGGCATTTATTTTTTTATGTACCTTTGTAATATGTCACTTACGGAATCCATTCATGTTGCTGAACGTGAACACTAGCAATTCTCAAATGTATGGGGCTAACAGGGGATTGGTCTTCCGTTTGTGGTGTAATTGTGCACCACCAAGTGCAATTACAGTATGCAAATTTATTAAAACATAATTTACTGATGGTTCATTTTAAAGCACTGCTTTAGCGGTTCTGGACCACTTACCTAAAAGTGACCTGTTCTTGCTTACATCAGACTGCCTTCGCCCTATCACAGTTCTGTTCAAGTAGAAGGTTTTTTCTGTGATGAAGGAATTGTGAGGAAAATGTAGCAGCTAATTAATGTATTACACAAAGAGAAGATAAATTCCATATACCACTAAATTTAAGAACTGGTAAATTGCTTTATTCAGGGAAATAGACTGTAGGGATGCTTAACATAAATATTTGCAGTAACAGGCAACACAGTTGCCTAATACTAGTATTTTTAATAGATGATGTGGTTCCTGTAACACATTTAGAAAAGTTCTGGGGTTTACTGAAAGTACTGATGTAAGGCTGTGTCTGTGTAGCTCTTAAGTGATAAAAATAAGCTTTCCTGCGTCACAAAATATGTGTGAGGATGATGAACGTTTTCAAGGTAGTCTATTAATTACTTGCCAGCGAGCCAGGCTGTCAGGACTGCTTTATTACATTTAAGTGGCAGAAAGACCCCAAAATGAGTAGATGCAATAGGAAAAACAGGTAAGCAACTAAATTTTTTAAATAATATTTACCGAATACCATTTTTAAACATTACATTTCTCTACTTTGCAAGGTCTGAAAATACCATTTCTCTTAGAGGGCATATAAGCCCTGCAGGTAGGAGTGTAACAGAGATGCTGCACACTGAGCTCTAAGCTAGTTCTGGTACAGGCAAAAATCTAACCATAGCTCCAAGGACCTCCAAAGGACTAATGTTTCCTGCTTCTCAGGTGGGATTTTTTTTGTAGTTTCAACCTAACTTTAGCATGTCTGTATTGTGTTGTTATTTTATTAACGCAGACTTCTCCTCAGTCACTTTATCTTTTGCATTTTAGAAACATCAGGATCTTCTCTTTATGCAGAGTGGTATCTAAAACAGCTGGGCTGAGCAGTCGTCCTGACTAGAACATTAACATTGTTGCTTATTGACCTTTGCTTCCCCCAGCTATCTGGCTGTGCAAAGATGAAGTGCGTATTTGTTAGCTAATCTGTATTTTTAATGCATGTTTAACAACTAAGAAATGCCTATTCATAAGCAGAGCACAAATGTGCGTGGCATTTCCCCATCAAAGCGCTGAATTGGCTATGTGAGTGAGTACATGAAAGTTTCTGTACCTGTAGAGCAACATAACCATCCCCGCAATGAGCCTCGGTTCTGGATTGCACCTGTTTTAGGAAACACACAGACTTTGTGGTGTGGATATCTCTGCAATTGGACATAAACCCCAAATTGTTTCCATGTTGACCACCGGAGATCTAGCAGGTCACAACTGTAACCTTCAGTCAATTGCCAATCATTGCTCAGTTCAAAGAGAAAGATAAGTGGCATCACTTTTTTTGTTGTATTTTGGGTTTTTTGTTTTGTTTGTTTATCTGGTCAGCCAGTTACCTCCATCTCTGGCTCCTTTTTTTTTATTTGAGAATTGATGACTGTACCGAAAATGAAACAGTCCAAGTTCTGGTCAGAAGAGGGTCCAGGGTGGGAGACTGTAGTTGTTTGTAAAGTACTGGCGTGACAGTGTCACTCTGTGGGTGTTAGTGTTCAGTCAGACAGGCACAATGCCTACTGAATTCTGCACTGGTCTGGATCTTCAAAGACTTGGAATTTCTGGTTTTATTCCTGGCTTTAGTAAGTTACATCTTTCTGTACCTTAGTTTTCCATCTGCAAAATGCAACTGACACTACTGCTTTTCTTTCTACAACCCTTGCAGTTTTTGCTGGCAAAGAGGGACTTAGAAGTTGTGGGCATAAATACTATTTTAGTAACATAAAGCACTTTTTCTCCATACCCCAAGGGGGGAAATTTATAGGCAAAATAGAAATACCGCTAATTATAAATTTCTGTTAATAGCCTTGTCGTCTTACTCATTTTCTTTGCTACTGGAAGTTTTATTGCTTGAAATTTTATTTTCTAAGAACTTTACTTTAGATGGAATGTTTAAATAATTTATAATGACCTTTTTTTTTTTTTTTAAAAAATTTGTGATAACATGTTGATGAACAATTTTCTCACTAGCTTCTCAGCCCATGGAGACTAGTGAGAATACACCTTGGAGGCTACAGAAAAAGATGGAAAACCTGCAAAACCGGGTGGAATCCTTACAGATAAAAAACCAAGGTGCCAGAATTTACCAAAAATACTTCTATTTTATTTAAAATACCCACACTCTCCAGAAACTCTTCTTGTTACCTGCCAAAGCTGTACCTCTGTTTCTGCATGAGGTCAGTTTAGATGTGCCTGTTTTACTAGCAGTACCCACTTCTACATTATCCTGCTGCTAGGAGAGTAATTAGATTAACTCCGCAACGCGCTGTTGCTCAGCCCCTTAACTCTAATAAGCTTCAAGATCCTTAACATTTCAAACATGGCAGCTGGTCAGGGGTGCCCTCGTCTGCTGTGATGTCTAATTAAATGAAATTTTTAACAAGCTGGTGACTCTTTCATGGAAACTGAAAGAGACTCGGGTAGCAGTAGACTCCAAAACCATAAATTTCCCAGGAGTGGCCTCAGAAGCATATCCTTTCCTCCTCAACTTTTTTTTAAAACTGAGATGACCACAGTGACGATGGAGAACTTTTCAGGTTCTCTTCTTGCTCCCTTCGAAGTCACTGGTAAAATGCTCATGAACTCCTGTGATGGCAGGATGCCGAGTGAGATGGAATTTCTTTTCTCTGCACTTTTTCTTACTGCACATTCCAGTTGCTTCCCCTTTGCACCCTTAAGTTTTGCTGCATAGATCTGGGAAATTATTATTTCCCCACATCGTACAGTGCATATGTGTCAGGGACGTACAAGTGACCTGATTTAGGTAAAACTAATCGAAGTATTTATATGAAGTATAAGTAAGTATTGTCATTTTTATTCTTTGCCACCCATTAACATCTTCAGTTTGCCTGTTTTCTATATCCACATAAATATATGTATTCATCTCTGTAATGTAGCAAAGAGTTACTATATAAAAGATGGGGGGGAAAGACTTTTGTGTACACACTAAGAAAACCCATTTCCATGAGCGTTGGACCAAAGGTATTAATTTCACACCATCCCAAAAGAGAGATTCTGCAATCAATAGCATTTCGCTACTACTCCAGCATTTGGTGCTTTGGCTTCACAAAGCAGATGAGGTTGTGCCTGTTTATAACTAGGTTCATCTTTTCTGTTAAGCTCCTGCATATAAAGAATTGCAAACTAAAGTTGCATTTGTAAGGGCTTGATAAGTACAGTGTAACGTGCAGGAGGGTATTACAAAGCTTCAAGTGTCTGCACCTGAGGCGTCAATCATTTTAACATAAGGTGGTGTTCAGATAATCTGTTCTTGCTGCTATTTTCAGCCATGTCATCAATGATCAGAACTCAGGAAATGAAGATCGAGAAAGCAAAGGAAAAGGAGAAAAAGCTATCAAAGTGAAGACACCGCATACGTTAGTGATTACTTTCACGTATGTACGTTGTGTTTAACATACGTTATATTTTTAAAGATGAATAATAAAAGCTCTTACAGTTTTGTAATTCTTGCCTTGAACCAGGACACTCTTTACAGTTTTTACTTTTAAATGAGTGGGAAGTACAGAGGAGTAGAAATAGATCTAAATACAGACTCTTTCACTGGCACACATTTTCAATAGCTGTGTGCTGGGAGGGACACTGGCCACAGGGCACTGCCGACTGCTTCAAGTTCCAGTATTTCTTCCATGTGATCTGGATCTTGCACACCATTTCAGGTCCTCTTTTTTAGAAAGTTAGTTTTGAAATGATTTGTTGGGCATTTTTTTTTTTCATTCTAAAATAAATTGGTTTCCTCTCCCTCTGTACTTCATGTTATTAGTTCAATAAATTCCGATTTATCTGGATGTCCCAGAACCGCCAAGTATTTCTAAAAAAAGCAGGAAACCTGCCTGTGGCTCCTGTTAATGTTGAGATAAAGTGTTGAACCACATACCTACAGCTGCAAGACTGCACCAGATTTCATCCTATGCCATGACCCCTTTAAGCTGAATGGACTCATGAAGTGGTCTTTTTTATGTAATTTTCACTGCTTGTTGGGATATTTGGCTTGATTCATAGTACAAATGGAGAGTCCACAGGCTGCCTTGGAATTAGCTTTGTCAGCATAGCACTTGTATTTTGACTTACAGCTGAGGGTTTATATGTTCCTAGGTTGGGACTTTTTGTCCTTCTTCAATTTGTGTCCCTCTATAAAAACTAAAATAGGTGAAGTTTAGGCAGAATAAAATGCATTTTTAATCTATACTGACTTTTTTTCTTGTAACAGTTTGGTATGACTTAAATACCAGGCTCCACCACCCATATTAAGTAGCTTGCTAAAATAGCTGTGCATATTACTTTCAGTTGGTCTCCAAAATGCTCTTAGTTGAGTCACCAATAAAGACAAACTTCCCTTAATACGAGTGCCCAAGAATAATGTTTTCAAAGGCCATTCCTAGTGTAAAATTTAGTAATAACAGGAAAGCATGTTGCGCGCACCTGGCATACATGAATTTATTTTAAAACCTCCTATGTCTTCTGACATTTGAGGATCTTGCAGCAGTGGGCAAATGACTGACTTAGGGCACTTGAAAGAGTTAAAAGACTATCCAATGCTAAAAACAATTTGAAAGTAATAAGATGAACAGGATCACTAAAGTATCAGATTGATTTTTATAGCCTCATTAGTGTTTGACAATATCTCAGGGAACAAGATAGTTGTTGAAAAAAAGACAGGGGAGGAAGAACTTTGTATTCATCCCCAATTGAGTGCTTTTCTAGAATTTGCCATTTGATTGTTGTCTGGGGACCGTTTGTGAAGAGCAGATTAATAGTGCTGCCCCTTCAGAGTCTAGCAAGGCTGTCTGAGAAGTGGTCATGGAAGCTGCTGGCTTGGTAGCAGGAGAGTCCTTGCTATAAACGGTACGAACAAAACAAGGGGCAAGATGTCCCTCTTGCAATAAATCAGTACCCAAGCACAGAAAAGTGGACCATCCCCAGAGTCAGCAGTGCAGGAAGTGCCAGTGGGGCAGCTTCACTAGCACTAGTGTTTTTCCTCATTATCTGCTTTCTGAAAAGCAATTACTGCCTTGAATTTATGGCAGCGTGGAATGCCATACTTGAATTCAAGGGGCTTACTCGGCGAATTTGTCCAAACCAAATGATTTGTAGCTACAGCTCAGCAAAAGTAGCTTCGTGAGCACAAGCCATGCAGATACAAGCTTGGTTTTGTTGACTTTAAAGCTACGGAACTATATTCAGAGTAGATCAAATCTCTGAGGTTTTTTTTAGTTTGAGGTTGTCTTGTGTGGGAAGGAGAGATTAGTGAGTTGATCCTAAGCTGTCCTCAGTTATTGTCAACAGTATTTTGAATTTAATTCAGGTAATTTTCTGGATTTCCTGATTTTTTTTCCCCCCCCCCCACTGATTCTGTCTTTTTTTGCAACAGTGTTGCAAGCTTAGTCAAAATGGTAATAAAGGCATCTCCCTTTTCCTAGGAATCAGTAGCATTGAAAATGAAAGGATCATTTTAGATGGCTTGTGCATCACAGTTTGGACGTGTTATACATATTTGACAGATCTACCAAAGTTTTCGTAAGAAATGGGTGAGGTGTAGAGAATGAGAGCGTATATTCACCTCATAGCCCAGCAGGTTGGAAAAGGTCAATGAGAAGTGCGCTCTTAGTTGTGTTCAAGGAGCCAAGCTAAAAAGAGTTGCAAAAGACTGCAACCCTGTGAGAACAGAAGGGAGCAGGTGGAGAGGTACAAATAGCCAGAGAGAAGGGAGCCCAAGAGCAGCTATATACGTCCTGGACTTTGCAGCACGAATAGCACTGTGTTATTCCATGTCATACAGGTGGATGACAGGAAGACTGTTAGGCAAATCTTGACCACAGCAGGACACCACAGATGGCAACCTACCCCCTAGAGAGAAAACCTAATACCAGTTTAGTATTTTTGAATGGATCATTTGGAGACACTCCAAACAGTAAGTTTAACTCCCAGAGAGAATGTGGGATGGGCATGGTTTTTGCAAATGCACCTGCAAAGTGAATAGGAAGCAAACAAGTTCCAATGCAAAGTTTCTGTGTGTGACTTGAAACTGCCTTATGCCCAGTACCCCTTCCAGCCTCAGGCTGTCTGCTCTGTTTACCATCCCGGTGCAGCACTTAGCATTTGTACACCAAACTACTTCACCAATAGGAATAGATTGCATTTCACCTAATAGTAATCAAATTGTCTTAATTTGTCAGAAGTTTGTCGTCGGCAGTATGAGCAGGTGAACTTAAAAGGTAGATCTTTGGTTGCAGTCTTTCCAGCTTTGCCAAGCTGGGAGTGAGACAGTTTATTATTTGCTTTTAGATACCCTGAGCCGCTGGCTGCTAGGCTGTTACATCCACAGAGGAATGTCAACAAGAACTTGTTTCTCACATGTAGCTTCACTAATCTCACAGCCAGGACATTGTATTAGACAGATACCAGCCCATTCTAGCAAAATCATTTTTATGCAGCGAGGCAACTTTGTTTAAATCTACCTTCACACTTGAGTGAATAGATTGTTCAGTAATGATAAATCACCTCTGTAAACTTGGAGAAAATACTAATCAGCTCCTCCAATAGTACTGAAATCCAGAGTTTGTTCTTTCACCATACAACTAACATTTCATTTACATAGCATAGGCCCTGCTGGGCAAGCAGTGATGTGAATGGCATAATAATTTAGAGGTTATAGCAAAGTGCAGCGCAGGTCTTTGTAGAAACCTTGCTTGATCATTCAGCAAGATGATGCAATCATGAGGATTATATGCATTGTCTGTGGGATCAAAGTGCAGGGTGTTTAATTAAAAAAAAAATTGTTCTCAATTTGAGAGACTTCTTAGGGTTAGTCTGTTTGAAACATGTTCTTCATTGCATTAGAGAATCTATTCTAGTGTAGGTTAAGTGGCTTTCTAGTGAATATCTTAATCTAATACCACAGTTAATCTTCTCAGACAAGCCTCCAACGTATGTATAAATACACTCAAATGCCAGTGGCTGTTCGACAAGTGCTTTTTAAGTTGACAGTATCTCACTATTTGAAACGCTTGCATTAATGGGAAAAAGATTTGTAAGCAGCTTGAAATAACATGATTTGCTTTGACTTCAGTGATTTCTGAAGATCAACTTCTACTTCAACTGTACCTCTGTACCTTAGGTATATTGTTCACGTAAATTTATTGTTAGAAGAGCTAAGCGCAAAAAAATGCAATGAGGTACCACGCCATTAGTTCCAGCACAATTTTACCTATTCAGTTTTACCTGAAGCTGTAAGTTACTGACTGAAACCCACATAAATGTTTTGTTCTCAGTGGTGGTACACATGGAGAGAACTTAAGAGCTTTCTGTTCATACACAGTAAGCCTAGTCATAATTAAACAGTAAAAATACTTGTTACAGTGAAGCAGTAGCCCCTAAAATGAAATAAGCCTCATGTTAATATTTATTTTTCAACCCAGGGCATGCTAACTATGCCCTATGTTCACCCCACCCCACCCCCGATTTTCTTTAGCTCTTTTATGGCTATGCCCACAAAATGGATTTGTTTAATGAAACAGCTGGTACTGAAGTCCCAGTAACAACATTTCAGACACTTGTTCTTCACAGTAGCTTTAGTATGATCCCACCAACTGGATGTCCATTAACCATTAGATGCAGGAGGTAAGCTGCTGAAGCTCATCTTCCAGTCTATCACCAAAATTCATTCTATTTCACATACTCAGATTGCTCCACCATGCAAAGCAGGAAAGAATTAGCAGAGACACTTAGATCAGCAGTGTACTTTTGAAGTAGATGTTCCAAACCATGGAAAGAAGAGCTTGCTTAAGTGGCATCATGGATTTGTAACCAAAAATACGAAAAGCAGGCAAGCAGAGCAGCTTTCTGCTTCTGTCATAAAAATATCACCTGGTTGAAGCTGGAAGTATTCTACCTTATCTGGCTTACTAGAAGGCCACAACTGAGAATAAATTTGTGTTGAAAAGCCTAGTCTTGAAAAAACCATACAAGTCTAAGCTAAGTAGTTGCTAACAGTACTGTAATATTGTTCCTAGGTAGGCAGAATATGCCACCTAACTCTGTTTCAGAAAGAATCCTATTCCCTAGCTATCACAGCGGTCCAGGTTTTTTTAAAGCCTGCTCCCACCCTGACAAAGTAATTCATTAAGCCCAGACAGTCCTTTCTGACCTTTGCTCTCCTCTCAGCAGGATGATGTGACTAAAAGGGACCTACCTGCCAAGCCTTCATTTGAGCTGAGGTGCTTTCTGGAGAGTAGGGAGTGGAGAATGAAGTACTTGGGGGTTAAACCTGTGTTACTCCAGAGAGTGCCAGCCCCTTCTCAGTAATTCTTTACCACTAAGATTTCAGGTCAAGTAACTCACTTGTGTCAAAGTTATTAAGAGTCAGTTCACTGGTCAAGTTGTAAAGGACTGTCAGTCTGAAAGTGTTTATTGCTTACTTAATACATTACATAAGTTAAAACACTTAAACTCCTACTACAGTGTAGGTAACCACACTTCCTAGTATGCTTCAAAAGCCCTAAGCAGTCGGTACAAAGATGCACATCCCATAGCCCCACTCAAAGCTACACAAACTCAAGTCCAGTGTCCGGATTTACCTGGACAGGCAGCTGCTTGGAGTGCTGCTCATGCCTTCATAGCCTACCTTGGACATCTTCAGCATGCGTTTGAAGTTCATTTTTCAGGTTGCCAAATGATTTCCTAAAGGGGATGGCAGAGATCTGCTGCTCACGCAGTTTAACCAGGTGTGATACGGGATTTACAGAGCTCTGCACTTGAGAAGGTCTCCTACTGAAGAAGGGGTAAAGTTTTAGGGGCTTTGTGATTAATCTAAGCAGGTTTGCCATTCGATAAGCAGCTTCCAAAATCCCATTAATGGTATCCCCACCACTGATGAACTATTTGATCTTCATGTTCAGTCACTAGGGTCCTATTACCACATTCTTCCCAACGTCTGACCTTCCCGTTCTCCACCAAGATAAATTTCCACTCTACTTTGGTGTCTACTGGCAGAATAATGGATTCAGACCAGAAGCCATCCTTGTCGTACTTGAGGGGAACATAGCTGTGCCACTGGCCAAGACACTCGTGGTCACCAGTAACACCAATCAGCTCAGCGTCGGAGTGCGTGATGTAGTGTACGCGGAAAGTCACGTGGATATTTTGAAACATCGGGGGCACAGCTGCAACTCTCTTGGCTTTCAAGTCCCCATCAGGGCAGTCTCCTTGTTCCCATTCCTTGCTGTCGGAGTCTTCCACGCTGCCATTCTTGCCAGCCTCCCCCCAGGCCAGGTGCTCCGAAACAACTTCCCACTCTTCATGGTCCAAGTCCCTACTCTCAGCTGGATGACCCGGCCGCTCCTCACTTCTGTCTTTACAAACATCATCGGAGGCTCCTGCCAAGTTCATCACACACCATCCGTCACTTGCCTGTCCCATCTGGGGTCTCAATTCACCTGCCTGGCTGCCATGCCTATCAGCTGGATGCTCCCTGGAGTCGGTGGCACCCTGCTTCTGCAGCAGCTGCTCCATCTCCGGAGGTTCACTGGAAACTCCACCACCTTGAACATGGTTAAGTGCTTTCCTTGGTACAGCCGCCAGATCCTCCCCTGGCTTCAGAGGGCTGGACAGGGCAGCAGCCTTGGCCTCCAGCAGCACTTGCTCACCGCTCGCCAGAAGATCCTCTGAAAGTGACATTTAATTAAAAAAAAAAGGAATGGTTTAAGCAACGCAGTTTAGCTTAGCGGCAGCTAACCCAAGTTCTCGCTGGCAGGCTTAAGCAGACCGAGACGCACCGAGCACCGGCTCCCCCAGCAGCCCTCCCCGCAGCACCCCC